TATATCTATAGATATATATATAGATATATATCTATAGATATGGATAAGGGGATCTAAAGTTAGTATATAATGAAGATAGCCATTTACAGTGGTATATCAAGGCCCCTTTGTTTTAATCACCAGTCAGTTCCTCTGTTAATAAGGAGAATAATGGTGTAGGCAGTCACAAGCAGAGTAATCAGCTAGGTTTTTCTCTCTGGCTTTAGGGGGTGTTGTGGGAATCCTGGGAACAGATTTTCTTCCTGATTTTCAGAGGCAAACATAAAATCAATTTTTCTTCCAAATGAATATCTAGGTGAGATACAGAGAATTTAAAATTTGTAGTAATTCCATTTGCAGATAACAGGATTATATGTGTGTGTGATGCCTACACACACGCAGACATTGTAGTAGCACAGGTGATCTTAGGCAGTCCATTATAAGTAAGCAAAATATTTAATAAAGGATTAGAGTATTCTAACCTGCAGGGGTGGTGGGTATATCCATATTCAGTGTGGGAATTGGTAAGTTTGAGCATCTCTGCTGTGCTCGAGTGCTTGCTTAGAGTTCATGAAGGCAGGAGGTCCCTACACCAAGACCTACACTGCTGGCTGATGTTGTGTGTGCTTTTCATGTTGACTTGTGCTGTATTCCAGCTTGTATTGGTGACTTATTTTCTATTGTTTTGTTTTGTTTTAACAACTTTACACCTGTCAGTTGAAAATTTCATTGATAAGCCCTTATTTTCTTTCACTTCCTCCTTTGGTGTTCATCTACATTGATTTCAACTCTCTTTAGTGAAATTTTTAGAACCATATCTTTAGTCCTCATATTACAGTGCTTACAGAAAATAACCAGCCAACTTGTCCCAGCAAGAGAACTATTGAAAGATAAATGATCTCTTCCTTTTTAAAGTGTCTTCTCATTACCATCAGATCTCTCTGCTTTTAATGTGGAAATTTTATTCCACTCACCTCTTCCCAACACTTGGTCAACAGCAACTTTTGCTTGTAACCTAAAAGACCTTGCCCTTTCTTCCTTCAAAGACTGATTCATATCTTTAGTCCTGGGAGGTTTGTCTTAGTTGCCTTTATGTGAATTTTTATATTTTCTTCACTCAGGCTTGCACTCAAACTTGGCAGTATTCATGTTCAATTTAGTTTCTAGATGAGTAGTAACCTTTGTAAACTCTAAAACTAACTAGATTCAAGTACTGGGGGTTTAGCTCAGTGGCACCACGCCTGCCTCACAAGGGCAAGGTCCTGATTTCGATCCCCAGTACCCCCCCAAAAAAACTGCAGAATAATTTATACAATAAAATAATTTCTACTGAACCTTAACAATTTTAGCAGTAATAATTAGCTTAATTGTGCTTACTTTGGCAGCAGAGTTTAGTTTTTTTCTATATAAAGTTGGTATTCCCAGCACTCTAAGAGGCTGAGGCAGTAGGATCACAAGTTTAAGCCCAGCCTGGTCAATTTAGCGACTTACTAGTAAGACCACACATCAAAATAAACAATTTAAAGGATGTACCTCATTGCAGAGGCTCTGGGTTCAAGGCCCAGTTACAACTCCCCTACCCTGGTTATCTCAATTTACCAACGATATGGTAGGCTATACAGAGGAAGTGTTTTCTGCAAGATTGTGCTGGAGGGAGCCTTGGGTTTTATATTTTTTGGTACCGGCGCTTGAACTCAGGCCCTTGCACTTGCAAGGCAGGCCCCTGAACCACTGAGCTAAATCCCCGGCCCCTTGGTTTTTCATTTATTTCTTCTCTCTCTCCCTCCCCCCGCTCTATTTTTCTTTAGAACATTACATAATGTTAACAAAACATGGTTCTCACAGTGCCTAGTTTTTCTCCCAGAGGCACAACTCTCAGACTCTTGAACGAGTTCTAACAGTGACTACTGACTTCCGTCCTGTGAGTGGCAGGATTTAGCCCTCTCTGTTCCCCTCATCCCACACAGGAGCACACTGCCCTTGCTTTAGCCACAACACAGTGGCCTCCCCCACCCTCACCCTACAGGAAGTTCGGTACTGATGTTTGTGCCAACAGGATTAGGGAACTGAAATATTTTGTTACAGCACTGACTGTTGATGTTTCTCACTCTTCTTTCACAGGTATATAGTGAACTCGTTTAGTCGCTTTCTCAGCATACGATCTGCCCACATACTGATGACTAATGAAATGTGTACCTCTGGGTTTCTAAATAATCAAAACACTTTTCAAAAATTTAAGATAGCCGGGCGTAATCCTAGCATTGGGGCTGAGGCAGGAGGATAGCTAAAAGTTCGAGGCCAGCCTAGGCTACATAGTGAAACCCTGTCTCAAAAAACCCAAAGATTTAAAATAGAAAAATATTTTAAAATTAAAATATTGCCACACATCAAGCATTTTGTTGAGAAAGACTTGGGCCAGGGATGTAGCTCAGTGGCAAGGTCCTGAGTTCACTCCCCAGTAGGGGTAGGGGTGGGGGGGCAGTTATTTTTCATTAAAATGTTGTTTATATATGGGGTTTATTGGCTTTTTTCAGTGATGGTGGACAAGTGATGATTAATTTCATATAGAGGTAGTGCCCTCTGGTTTAGGAAATATCTTGTATTGATATTAAAATATTAAGAACATAACATCAACCCAGTTTTTAATCTTCCTGTTTCATCAGCGTTTCATTGCAACAAATATTTTTCAAATATTTGTGCTTGGATACTGTAAGATAGAAGCATAAGACAGCCCCTGTCTGACTTGGCCTTGATGTAGACTTACTTCGATTTTGTACTTTGAACATCCAGCCCTCTACAGTGAGATTTAGGGATTTTGGGGGGTGGGTTTTGAGTCAAGAGAATCACTGTCTATTCCAGGCTGGCCTTGAACTCACAACAGTCCTCCTTCCCCAGTCTCCTCAGTGCTGGGATTACAAGTGTGCTCCCCACACACAGCTGGCCACAGTGAATTTAACCCTCTGCAGTAGGAATATTTAAGTCTGACTGAGGACTGCTAAAACCTCAGATCTAAAAACAGATATTGTATTCTAGAAAATATATCAGGACTATAACAAATATGTGGGATAAAGTTTTCAAATTAGTGCTAAGATAAACTTTATTTAACTGTGAATTTTACACAGCACTTTAGAGTTCACTAAAAGATTTGACATGTATTGTTTCATTTAATCGTAGTGATGGCCCTATAAGTAAGATACTCTGCATATATTACCGATGGCTGACTCAGATTCTCAAATGGTAGCTGACTTGCACAAGAATGCAAATTAGCTGTTCTGACTTCCAATCTTTTTCTTTTACTGTTTAAAAACAGCATACTCTATGAAAACTCAGAGTGGTTGCCTTTCAGCTACATGTTAAGATGTGAAGGGTGTGACTATCTCATCTAAAGGCTGTGATCATCATAAACACTCCATAGTTCGCTCAAGTCACTAGGAGAAATTAGAATTCTCATTCTGGTTATCAGTCATATAATTTTGTGTGCGTGCGTGTGTGTGTGTGTGTGTGTGTGTGTGTGGTACCAGGGATCAAACTCAGGCCCTTGCACTTTGGGGACAAGTGGCAGGACCACTGAACTAAATCCCCAGGCCCTCAATCATATAAATTTTATGAGAGGTCAGACTCAAGTTCCATCATGCATTTCAGCTAAGAGGGATTTTTTTCAAAATTCTTTAAAACTGTTAAAAATCTTCAAGTACTTTCATTTATTGATCTTCAGAAGCATCTCTGGCACAAAACATTCACCTAACACCTAGAGTACATATGATTTCTTGGCCACACATAATACTCATTTCTCTATGAAATACCATAGGAATGACATGGTTTAGAAGATTCTACACTGACTAATTTCAGAGAGCAACCCAGGGAACATTTCAATCACTGAGAAATTTTGGCCATTAGAAGTCTTAACTGTGAACAGTCTTGTTACTAATTTTTTGTTGTATTAAAATTCTGTCTCCCCTTTCCCCCCCATAGGTTTGTAAAAGAATGGACTTGGTTTGCCAGAGAATGTTGAATCAGGGGTTTCTGAAAGTGGAGAGGTACCATAATCTGTGTCAGAAGCAAGTGAAAGCACAGCTCCCAAGGTACGCTGTGACTGCTGATGGCATTCATTTACAGTTCAAGTGTTGTTTGGCTTTTATACTGATTTTTAATTAGTTTCTAAATCTCAGAATTTCATGTTAAATAGCTCCCACTTTTTGTGAGGAAGAACATAGTAAGTGATTTCTACTGTTGTTTGGTGTTCTTGGGCATTCCAGTCAAGAGAATGGGCAAGAAAGTGAAACAAAAGGCATTCAGTTGTGAAAAGATGAAGCAAAGCTTTCTCTGCTCAAGGATAACATGTTCTTGTACGCCAGAAATACACTGCGGAATTATTAGAGTGAATAAATGAGATAAGCAATCAATATACAAAATCAGTTGTATTTCTACACACTAGCAGTGAACAATCTGAAAATGAAATTTCAAAGACAGTTCCATGCATTATAATGCCCAAAATAAAAGGTACTTTGTAAGAAATTCTGTGAAAGAAGCATGATATTTGCATACCAAATACTGCTAAACATTGAAAGAAATTAAATAAATGGAGGATCATTCCTTTTTTGTGGATTGGAATACTTCATATTGTTATGGTAGCAGTATTCCCCAAATTGATCTCTCTCTCTCTCTCTCTCTCACACACACACACACACACACACACACACACACACACGGGCACATACACATGCACAGTGCAGTCTGTCAAAACCCTAGCTGTCTTTTTTAAAGAATGTGACAAGCTGATCCTAAAATTCCTAAGGAAATACAAGTTCAAAACAGTCTTGAATAACAATTGCAATATTGGAAGACTAATACCTCCTGATTCCAAAACTTACTATAAAGCTGCAGTCCTTAAAACAGTGTGGTAAGACATAAGCATAGAAATACAGATTGATGAAATACAATCAAGAATTCATAAAATAAATCTCATATTTTTAGTCAGTTGATTTTTCAACAAGGATGCCATGACAGTTGAATGGGGAAGAGAAAAATGTCCTCGACAAATGATCCTAGTAAAACCAAATATCAGCACATAGAAGAATAGAGTTGGACCCCACCTCACACTATATATATAAAAAAACCTCAGGAGCTGGGCGTGGTAGCGCAAGCCTGTGATCCCAGACTCGGGAGGCTTAAGCAGGAGGATTGCTATGAGTTCAAGACCAGCGTGGGCTACATAGTGAGTTCCAGGTTAGTCTCAACTATACAGTGAGACCCTGTCTCAAAAAAACAAAACAAAATAAAGGACCATGGGCCTAAGTAGAAATGTCAGCACAAACTCAAGAACTCTTAAACGATGACATAATAATGAGTCTTCTTGAAGGTTGATTAGGCAGTGCTTTGTTACATATGATGACAGAAGCGTTAAGTGAAGATAAAAAGATGTGGACAACTTGATATCATCAAAGTTTAAAATTTATGGCCCTAAGGAATGTATGAAGAAAGTGAGGGCTGGGGCTGTAGCTCTGGTAGAGAGCTTTCCTGCTATTTGCAAGGCTCTAGATTCAATCTCTAGTATGGGGAGGGTGGAGAGAAAGTGCCAAGGCAACCTACAGAAGGGGAGAGAAATGATGTTGTGTTCACATACCTGATACAGGGTGTGTATTGCATCCAGGTTATATGAGGGACTGTTAAAACTCAAAAGATAACCAAACTAAAAATGGGTGAAGGATTTGAGCAGACATTTCTTCAGTGAAATGGGCAGTGAGCACATGGAAGAGGCAGGTTCAGCATGGTGTGCTACCAGGGAAGTGTGAATGAAATGTGAGACCATTGTGGCCGTTCTCTGAAAGTGAGCCTGAAGTTTCACTCCTGGGTTTGTACTTCGGAGAAACTAAAACAGGAGTATGCCCAAGGCTCTGGGTTTGATCTGGGCATAGCAAAAAAGAAACAGCCAGGCATGGTGGCGCATAATCCCAGCACTCGGGAGGCTGAGGCAGGAAGATTGCTGTGAGTTTGTAACCAGCCTTGGCTACATAATGAGTTCCAGGTCAGTCTCAACTACATAGTGAGACCCTGTCTCAAAAAACCAAAAAAAATCCAGTTACTAAAATGTTGACCAACTCAGATAGCCATCAGCCAACAAATGAAGGGATGTTATTTCCATTCCATGTTTGGATTTTAATACTTCACATTTTTAAGGTAGTATTCCCCAAATTGATCACACACACACACACACACACACACACACACATACAGGCACAGTGCAGTCTCTGTTATTCAGCCGTGAAAAGAGACACGCTGGAACATGAATGAACCATGAGAACTCTGCAGAATGAAAGAAGCCAGACAAAGCTACACACCCTGGGATTCCATTTATATGAAATGTGCAGAGTAAGCAAATCTGAGGGACTGGCAGAGGAAGTGACTGGTGATGGAAATGTTCTATTAGATAACTGAAAACAATTGCATGACTGATTGTACTGACAATACATTGCACGCTTTAGTTATATGTGCAAATTACTTCTGAGTAAAACTGCTTTAAGGTGGTAAGTTTTATGAGTAAAAACATACTGTCTTGCCTGTGTCTGTGTGATAGCCCTTATACTTGATATAGCCAAAAAAAAAATAAATTTTTTTTGCAGTGCTGGGTATCAAACCCAGGGTCCCATGCATGCTAGGCAAGCACTGTATCACAAAGCTAAGCCTCTGTCCTAATTTCAATATAAAGTGTTTTTCCCCCCAACTGTTTTGTCAGTGAGTATTGGTCCTTTGAAGGATTTCTTTGTGTAGTGGTTCGTTCATCACAATTATGACTCCATTGTAGATTTCTAAATTCACACATCAATGTTAGATTGTTTCATTAAAGCATTTCAGTTGCTTAACATTTTAATCTACAGTACTGCCTTAGTAGATGCCATTTATTTTTGTAATTTTAGGAGAGAATCAGAAAGGAGAAACCATTCTTTAGCTCGCCATGCGGACATCCTTGCTGCTGTGGAAACAAGGCTGTCACTGTTAAACATGACTTTTATGAAGTATGTGGATTCCAATCTTTGTTGCTTCATCCCAGGAAAGGTAAAGTAGAACTGCCTGCCCAGAACAGCTGTATTGTCCTGTGTCAACTGTAATTGTGTAAACTTAAAAAGTGGTTTGTGAAAAGTCAGAATTGCTTCTACTTCTCTGAGTTTCTATGAATGGGCCTGTTTAGCTTCTGTACAGTTAGCAATATGAGTATATATCCTACATGTGGTCTTTACATTGAAAAAGCTAACTGATACAAGAGAAACTCTGATATTCTACAGAGAAACGAGTTGAGAGCTCAGATTCAAGTGCTGATCTTTAGTTAAAGTGCCAGAGACATTGCAGTGGACAAGATAGAGTTGTCCTGCCTCTGAGATTGGTACACTGTGGGGAGGAATAGGAGAACCAGACAGTTGTGTTTTGTTTGAGAAATGTTTCCCAGTGCCAGCCTTATAAACTTCCCCAAATTTGACCAAAATAAACAATTGCTATATATAGCAATATACCCAGAGCTAAGCAGTGATCCTCTTTAACAGAGGTAAGAGTATTGTAGCATATTTACTAAGTTGGTAAAAACATCAGCATGCCATGTAAGTTAAGAATTCCAAAAAAAACCACAAAAAAGAATTCCATTTCTTTTTTGTTTTTAATTTTTATTATGTTTGCAGTACATGATGATTACACTGTAGATAATTGTTACATGTACATAAAAAAAATTCCACTTCTTGAAGGGTAAATTTAGATGAGATGGAACCAGTGGAATGGACTTGAAGGTCATTTTGCTGCTTGATCTGATGGTGGTACAGGCTCCTTTTATATCATTGGAACTAATGAATACCTAACAGAATTCTCCCTTTGATATTTTCATAGATGATTGACATTGATAGTATAGTATATGTATAGTTTCTATGATGTTTATTTGGGGGGACAGCCCTATTATAATTAGATTTGAATATCCCTTAGTGTATCTCACTTGTCTACAGATGCTTTTGTTTGTTTGTTTGTTTGTTTGTTTTGGTTTTTTGAGTCAGGGTCTCACTATGTAGTTGAGACTGACCTGGAACTCACTATGTAGCCCAGGCTGGTCTCAAACTCAGTGATCCTCCTGCCTCAGCCTCCCTAGTGCTGGGATTATAGGCATGCGCCACCACACCCAGCTTTACAGGTGCTTTTGTAAAAAGTATAAAATGGTGACCGACTAGAAACTTCAGATTCTGACTCTATTGCCAGATTTTAGGCAGAAGGGATTTCCAGGCCTTAACTCAGGTGTTGGTTAACTCTTAGGTGTCCTTTTAACTGGTACAGGTTATCTTCTCTAGCTTCAGCATTTTTACTGAAGGAAATGAATATATAAGAACCATCTGATGGTTTCATAATGTCAAGGCCATCCAGTCCTATAACTAAGCAGTGGCGAGGTCTGTGGCCAAGTTCCCAAGGCTGCCATAGGATGCAGAAACCACAGCTCCCTGGAAGGTTCTCTAGCAGACAGAAAAATCGCCTGCCTGGGGGCTGCAGCCAGGTGCAGAGTGAGTCTTTGACTGAAAAAGTCTTGATTTGGTGTATGATTTCTCTGTCCCCAACACTGTGCTCCTGGGTTATTAAAGCTCAGGTGGTTTTAGCCAGGTGTGGCGCACACCTGTAACCCCAGGACTCGGGAACCTGAGGCAGGAGGATCGCTGTGAATTCAAGACCAGCCTGGGCTACATAGTGAGTTCCAGGTCAGTCTCAACTACATAGTGAGACCCTGTTTAAATTTTAAAAAAAAAAAAAAAAAAAAAAAAAATCTCAGGTGGTTTTGTACAAAATATATTCATTTTGTTAAAACTCAGATCTACCATCAACATTTTATTCACAAGTTTCTTAAATGAATCTGGATAATAACAATGTAGTTTAAATTAGATTAGTAGATATGTACCATAGTTTTTGTTTTGTTGTTTGGTTGTTTTGTTTTGTTTTGTTTTGAGACAGGGTCTCACTATGTAGTTGAGACTAACCTAGAACTCACTATGTAGTCCAGGCTGGTCTCGAACTCACAGCGATCTTCCTCCTGCCTCAGCCTCCCAAGTGCTGAGATTACAGGCCTGCGCCACCATGCCCGGCTCTGTACCACAATTTTGAGTGTTTGCCACTACAGAGGTCAGCAACCTTTTTTTGGTAAAAGCCAGACAGTAAATATTTTTGGCTTTCTGTCACAACTATTCAAGTCTGAGCAATAACCATGGACAACTTGTGGTAGATGAATGAGTGTGCATTTGTTGCAATAAAATTCCATTTACAAAATAGGCACAGACCAAATAGGGCCATGGTTGATAAACCCTGACCACTTTATTGATCTTTGGTCCATCGTCTCTTAGAAGGAAGATGTCATAGCTAGATAGTTAGCTTACTCCTGTGTGCATTTCTCAGCTTTCCTGTCCGGTGTGGAGGTTGCACTTTGTGTAATAAGCTCATGTCTGCATCTGAAGTTCCCATGTCCTGGAGCTTGTGTTGCCTGCAAGCAGTGGGCACCTAATCCTTCTGGGAGATAAAATAATGAGGAAAAACTCAAATAATCCCCATTCCTAAGTATCAGCAGTCCTATTAATCCTTGTGTTCCTACTGAAACACAGTGGTCCCTAAAGTTATGATTTTCACTGTGTAAACGATTGTGTAAGGCCATGGAACTGAGTGTCCCTATGTAGACTTACTATATATTAGATGTGGTTGGTTTGTTTTTAATATTTTGAGAAAGAACTCTGGTAGTGTTGAATTTTGTTATGAGGCAGCAATTATATACCTCTCTGCTGGCTTTTATTCATTGTTTATATATGCAGTATATTTTTGTCTCAACCATTTGAAAGTGAGTTTGAGATACTTGATCTTTAATTCTTAAATATTTCAATATATTTCTTAAGAACTAGAATACATAACCATAATACACAAAAATCAGAAAAATTAACATTAGTACAATTCTCTTATTACATTCAAATTGCATTTCTGTTCAAATACTACTGCTCCTAGCAGTTTTCTTCCTCAGTCTAGAATCTAATTGAGGGCTGTAGATGGATCCTGATCTTGAGCCAAAAAGTCTCTAGACTCTCTTGTGTCTCATTTTTACCTTTTTGTACAGCATATGTCAGTTCTTTGGAGGAATTTCCTTAAGTACATTATATCAGATGTTTCCAAAAGGTTGCAGTTTTGTTTCTTTTAAATTTGGTTTTAATATGAAGATGCTTTTTAAAGTCAAGATTAGTTGGGAGCATTTCTTAACGTTTACTGTGATTATCCCAAAATAAATAAACCCAGCCATATGAGCCTTTAAAATGGAAAAAGTGCATTTTTATATTGAGTTTTTAGATCCCTCCTCCCCCCACCACCCATCTTGGATAACTAGGGAGTTCTGATCATCGTTTTATGTGCTGGAATCTTAAATACAAGCAGAACAGAGAATCACTAGACTAATATGTAACAGAAAACAGGAAAAAGCCTTTCAGGAAGTCATGTGAGGTTAGAAAACTTAAAAGAAACTGTACTATTCTAAATATTAAAGATGTGTAACAAATGCCTAAAATTAAAGAATACTTAGAGTTTTAAGTATTTAAATTATTGAAATGTGGAAGACACTTTAAAAAAATAAGCAAAAGAGGTAGATGGTGAAGTCAGGAAATCTCAAGTATAAAAACAAAACAAAAAAATCTGTGGAGCCAGGTGTGGTGGCGCACACCTGTAATCCTGGCACTTGGAAGCTGAGATAGGAAAATCATTGCAAATTTGAGCACAAGTTGGGCAACATAAGTTCAAGGGCAGCCTGAACTATACAGTGAGACCTTGTCTCAAAAAAAGGGGGTGGGTGGGAATAAAACATAGGTTAGTCTAATAGGATCTTTGTTTGCTGAACAACAGATTTTAGAAGATTCTCCTTCACCCACAGTAACCTAAAGGCTTAAATGATAGTATTTCATTATTGTGCTAATTTAAACATAAGCATGACACAATGAACTGTGTTAAAGAAAGATAATAGTTGTTCACTCTATTTGTTTTGTGTAATATTTTCTTAAAATTTAAAAATCTTTTCAAGCCAGGTGTGGTGATGCATGCCTGTGATCCCAGCACTCTGGAGAGGCTAGAAGAGCACAAGCTCAAGCCCAGCCTGGGAAACTCAGCAACTTAGTGAGAACTTGTCTCATGATAAAAAAATTTTAAAAGTCCTGGGGATGTAGCTCAGTTCAGAGGCCCTGGATTCAGTCCTCAGTACAGCAGTCAATCCAATCAATCAATAACTTTATGATCTGCGTCCCAGGCAAGGGTGAGTGTGTGAAATGCTATTTTAAAGCTGAAGAAACAGCCACTAAGTTCCTGAGGCCTGTGCTCTTTCACTAGACCTTAAAATAATGTATGGAAAATGGCCAAACCTACTTAGAAAATGAATTGTTTTTTAAATGTGCCAAGTATATGTGCCTTTATACTGTTGCAGACGCTGACAACTCTGGGAGAAGCAGTGTAGTTTCCCACACACTTGTTTTTTTCTTTATCTCGTCCCCTGCTCATAGCTTTTGGACAGAAGAAAGAAACTATTTTAAATTTTAATATCATTCTGGCTTCTCTTCAAACTGTATAACTCTTTCACCTTTTAAATCTTAACAATGTGGATTATCCATTTCATTGACTAAAATCTATGTGTAGTACAGAGATTTGAAAATGTTACCTTTCTTAGTGGAAGATTTGAGCAAGTACAAAAAAGTTACCTTATTTCCACACCATTTTTGGAAGAATATTTCACCATGTGTACTACAGTTTAGTATGAGGTAGCAATGCCTGTGGGACATCTGGATCTGATTCATCCGAGGAGTGACCACTGTGCCCCCAGAACAGATGACACCTGCCCGGCAGTCGTGCTACCCCGGAGGCGCCCCGGAACATCTGCTGACCACGCCCCGTGGCCCTGGCCAGCCCCATTCCTTCCTTGTCCGGTTGCCACATGCTGCCTGCCCCCAGTGCCCACGATCATGGCCTTCCTCCAACCCTCCTGGTGCTCTCAGACAGATCTTATCTCTGCTTTTTAAATTTTCCCACAACACTGTGCTTTTACGGAACTTCTTTCAGGCTGTCTGACTCATGCTTTGCTTTTAAGGGTCTGTCAGGAAGCCTGTCTTCCATTGTCTAGGATCTGAGTCTTCTCATGCCTGAGCCATTAACAACAATCACTTGCAGGCTAACTCACTCATACTGTGAATATTCTGCCGGTATTTCTGTATATAAACATAACAGCTTTATAAAGGTATGGGTGCTATATTAAACATGTGATACTCCTTTAAGTATTGTGTCTCTCTAGAAATCCCTCTCCATAGAAATCCTGTTAACTCTGACCTTGGTGTTCAGAGTCTGCCCTCTAAAAACCATATTGTTGAATGGAATTTAAGTCAAGCTTGCCCCTGAATAGATACACCAGTATTAAGCAGCTACAGTGCTGGACCATGCTTAGTGAGGATCTGCCATCTGCCACACTACTAGGCTGTGGGATCTGACAGGAACTGGAGCTTACTGTGGTACTGGGAAGATAGATTGGCAAAAAGACAAATTTACAGCATGTAATGTGTATCTGAAGGGACAGTAAAAGGTTTCATGAAGATGTTAGCATAGTTTACATTGGGACGGGGTTCAGGGAAGATTACTCTGAGAAAGTGAGGTGCTACTGAGTGAATGGGCAAGGAAGCTGGGCATGCTGGGCTGAGGCAGGCAGGAAGAGCATCAAGAGTTCAAGGCCAGCCTGAAATACGTAGCGAGACTCTGTCTCAAAGGAAGGAAGGGAGGGAGAGAGGGAATGGGCAGGGAATTTGGCTTGGAAGAGATACACAAGGAGAATACTATAGCAGCAGGGTCAGAATCTATAAGCACCCTGGACGTGAGGATGAGGACTGACTTCACAGAGGTAATGACCAGTTTGGAGCTGTAGGTGCAGTTTACTGGCATTGGGGACATTTTTAAAAAGCAGTGGAGCATTGCAGTGCTTTTCCCAAAACTTTGATAAAAACAAAACTAGTTTGATCAATTAATATCCTCGCACTAGCATGTACAATATTAGTCAATATGGAAAGCTTTTTAAAAATATTCCTATTTGGGGGCCAGGGATTTAAACTTGGTGGTTCCGCTGCCTGCCTCACAAGTGCAAGGTCCCAAGTTCGATCCCTGGTACCCCCCCCAAAATAATTCCTATTTGGGGTCACTTACTTTATTGGAGACAGGGTCTCACTGTGTAGCCCAGGCTGGCCTTGAACTTACTATAGTGCCTAGACTGGCTTCAAACTTTCAGTATTCCTCCTGCCTCAGCCTCCCAAGTGCTGGGATTACAGGCATGTGCCACTACATCCAGCTTTTTAGCCTTTTCTTTATTGAGTATCACATAACTTTTGTGGTTTTAACCTTCTGCTAGTTTTCATAAATATCTATTTGGTAAGATAAACCTGATGTTGGTAGTTATTTTACAAAAGTATTGTAGATCCTAGTCTTGCAGCCTGCTGTTGATAAGCATATATAAAAGACTACCTGTTCCAGCCCTTGAGCTCCCTGAACGAGCTGCGCTGACCTTGGGACCATTGCTGGTACTCTTTCCCGGGTCTTAGAGTGAGCAGTCCTGCTCCTCACCCGCCTCACTTCATGGTATCAGAAAAGCCTCTCCTATCCCTCTTATCCCAGGGGATGATCACATGAGCCTCTTTTTGTCATGGCACGCTCTGAAATTATTTATATTATTTGTTCACTTACTCTTCTTAAGAATAACAATTTTGTGAGCCTATCATGGTGCTTGCCTATAATCCCAGCACTTGGGAGGCTGAGGCAGGAAGATTGCTGCAAGTTTGAGACAGCCTGAGCTACATAGTGAATCCAAGGCCAGCCTGACCATACAGTGAGACCTTGTCTCAAAACAAACAATTTTGTCATCCTGTTTAGTTTTTCCCCCCTGTGTGCTGAACCATGACCTTCAGTTGAACAATGCTTATCTGAACAGAGTAGGACAGTGATGGCAAACCTTTTAGAGCTTGTAACATGGTATGCGTGCCGTAGGCTCACAGCTGCTGACCTAGGCTGTGCTCATGTTGCAGTGAGCCTGAGGGAAATGGCCATTTTTCTTCTTAACATAAGTGATGGTTTCTGACATAGTAGTCGAATGAGTTATTCAAACAAAATGTGTTGGGCCAGGGATTTAACTCAGTGGTTCGTTCCAGCGCCTGCCTCACCAGCACAAGGGCCTGTGTTGGATCCCTGGTACCAAAAAAAAAAAATGTGTTCTTATCCTGGTACCAAAAAAAAAAAATGTGTTCTTAAGCCGGGCGTGGTGGCGCACGCCTGTAATCCCAGCACTCAGGAGGCTGAGGTAGGAGGATCACTGTGAGTTCCTGGGTTATACAGTGAGTTCCAGGTCAGTTTCAACTACACAGTGAGACCCTATCTCAAAAAACCAAAAAAATGTGTTCTTCCAAAGTGAGCTTCTACAGAGTAGTAATGCCAGACACACACATCATGACCAGCCGGGGTCACAGCTTCTGTGCTGACATACATGCTCGCTCACGTGTTCTCCATGGCAATGCCAGGCCCTCCTGCAGTTTTCTCTTCCCTCCAGCTGTTTGCAGTCAGTGTCACCCTAACCAGCCATCTCGTCTTCATTGTGCCTTCCTCTGCCCAGGCCAGTGCCCATGCAGCTCTCCGGGCTCACCCTGGCCTCTTGTGCAGTCTTCTCTGGCAGACACTGCTGGTGTCGTGCTGACGTTTGCTGAGTGCACATTGTTACAGACTGACCTGGATCATCACATGGCTCCAGGCTGCAGGCTTGGGCGGGTGTTGTTCTAGGCTGTGGCTAAGAGGGGAAGGAGGACAGGGACAGGCTGAGGGTGGAGCTGGGGGTAGTGCAGGGGGCAGGATGTATGTGGCTCATAGTTGTCCAGGTCCGGGTGACACGTGGTGTGGTGACTGGCCCTGCTCTCTGCGCAGACTCAGATGAGAAGTGTCATCTTCACGTCTCTACAGAAGCCTTTGGAAAGAACTCTCACCTTAGAGGAAGAAAAGCAGGGAGCCTGAATGCCTAAGGCAACTTAGTGCCTTTGCAACTAGAGTCAGGAACGGGCCTGAAGAACTTGTCCTTCTCCGTGTGTTGTGCCTTGGGTTTCCCTGTTGCAGTTATTGTTGTGACATAAGGTCTTTGCCACCCCTTGGTGGCAGCAAGAAAGCTTGGTTTTAGGAAAGTTATTCCAAACCACGGCAGCTCTTAGACATCCAGACTCCAAGGGATGGAGCACAACATGGTGGGCAGTGCAAAAGGGATGGAGCACTCGGGCTTTGAGGAACAAGATCTGGTGTGGAGGGTTAATGGCATATGGTTTGGGGCTGCCCCTGCCCCACCCCTACTCCCACACAGGCTTTCATTTCTTTGTTCAGTCCTCTGGTTTCTTTAACAATTTGTAGGGCCCTCTGCACTCCTTATGTGTACATATCTCTCCAGTTACTCCATGCTGTCCTTTAAGGCAAGAGCTCAATTTTTTCTTTTTTTTTGGTGGTACTGGGGATAGAATTCCAGACCTTGCACGCTTGCGAGGCAGGCAGCAGAACCACTGATTTAGATCTCCAGCCCAAGAGTTCTATTTTATTTGTCCTGATTTTCTAGCCCCAGCAGAGTCCCTGGTTCATAAAATGTGCTTAGTAAGGTGGTTGTGTGATGCACAGCTTAATCTCGGTGCTGGGATGCTGAGGCAGGAGGCTTGCCACAAGTTTGGGGCAGCCTGGGCTACATAGTGAGGCCAAGGCCAGCCTGAACTGCATAGAGATTCTGTCACAAAAACAAACAGGTATTTAGTAAATCTGAGTGTAAAGTAGTATAAGAAGCCAGAAGCTCTGTGTCACAGCTGGTACTGTCACCCATGGCTGGCGTGTCTGCACAGGAACTGCAGAACCAGCCATCACTTCGCTGCTGCTTAACCATTTTCTTAAATACACTGCTAATGAGAATTCGTTGTTTTAGGTGATCGATGAGATTTACCGGGTGTTGAGATATGTCAATTCTACCAGAGCCCCACAGCGAGCTCATGAAGTCCTCCAGGAGTTAAGGGATATCTCCTCCATGGCCATGGAGTACTTTGATGAGAAGATCGTTCCAATTCTGAAGAGGAAACTGCCAGGATCAGACGTGTCTGGAAGGCTCATGGGCTCTCCTCCAGGTAGCTCTCATTTAGAATGTCTCCAGTTCAGAATAACATGCAGGCCTAGTTTTATTACTTGCCCTTTTCTTTCCCCACTTAACTGTGTATCTTGAAATTTTCTGTTAGTAAATATTTACTGGCGACATCATTTTTAGTGACAGATTGATTTATTGACCGTAACTGTTTAAAGGATTCAGTGTTATTTCTAGGGTTTTTGTTTGTTTGTTTGTTTAGTTTATTTGTGGTAGTGTTTGGTTTTGGGTGGATTTGGTTTGGTTTTGGTGCTGGGCACTGAACCTAGCTGAGCATGTGCTATACCGCTGAGCGACATCCCCGGCCCCTGTATCGAGTTTTTCAATTAAATTATAATCTGTAGAACATTTTTGTGACTAAATCTTTGCACATATCCACAACTATAAACTTACAATAAGTTTCAGTAAAGTAACATTACTGGGTTAAAAGTTATATTTAGGGCCAGGGATCTAGTTCATTGGCACCACACTTGCCTCGCAAGTGCAAGGTCCCAAGTTTGATCCTCAGTACCCCTCCAAAAAAAACACTGTATTTAATTGGGTATATGTTTGATGGGGGTCTGATTATATAAAACCCCAAAGTCTTCACGGAAATAATCCAGTAAATCATCTCAGTTGCTGCAGAACCTGGCTGCTCCTTTAAAAGCCAGTGCACGCAAGATTCTTTGAACACTGTCCCTTCTCTGATAGCTATTTTGCAAAACATATTGGCTCCTAGAGATTTGTGCCTTTATCTTTTGAAAGACTGAATTGTTCAACATTCTCAGGCCTTGTTAGGAGGGAGGGCTTAGTAAGCCTTTGTTTTGTTCAGATTGGTTAGCACCCCACAGTGCTCCATGTGCTGGGCGAGTCTCTGATTTAATATAAAGCTCCAGCTTCTCACTTTGATGTAGGTATCACTTAGCACCTGTCACGTGCACAGCACTGTGTGGTGTCCCGCGGACACTAAAAGGACCTGCTGTTGCCTCAGACTCAGAGATAAGTTATTGTAGCAGGAGGACCCCTTTGAGGCTGTCCACACAGCACAGGCAGAGCTGTGAGGGGTGAGGTCTGGGTGGGTGGTGTGGTTGACGCCATGCAGGAGGTGAGAGGGGATCTGAGCACCTGACAGCTGGGTAAGGGCTGGAGAATGTGCCTCGGGGAGGTTATGTTTGGTTAGTTACCTGTGCAGGGAGCAAGGGAGCATGCTGGGCTTGGGGTAGGCATTGGCCTCCTGGTTCTTTTAGGAAATCTATAGGAGAAAAATGGAAATGCTGGGCATGGTGGCACAAGCCTGTAATTTTAGCCCTTGGGAGGCTGGGGCAGGTGGGTCACAGGAGTTCGAGGCAGCCTATGCTACATAGTGAGGGAGGTAGGTTAAAAACTCGGTTATCAGCTTGGAATCGTGGGCCAGGGATTTAGCTCAGTGGTTCCACTGCGTGCCTCATAGGCGCAAGGTCCTGAGTTTGATCCTCGGTACAAAAAAAAAAACAGCTTGGAATTATGAATTCTGTGCCCATGTTACCTTCCAGTGATTCTTAAAAGACTCGTCCTGAAGCCTTCACACACCATGGTCCCAGCTGCTCCTGATGGTTTTGTGTGATGTAACCCTTGCTTTGCTGGAGTCCTTGTCTGTAATTATAGAGAGAATGAAGAACATGGTAGGGTGGGGGTGTGGCTGAGAAGTAGACTGCCTGCCTAGCAAGATGAAGCCCTGGGTTCAATCCCCACTGCCGCAAAAGGAAACAAAAAATGAAAAGTACTTCTAACTCAGAAGTTTGTGGAAAGTGATAATTTGCTAATTTGAGTACTTGTGTTTTCATACTTGGTCCTGAAATTGCTTGACAGTACTTCTGGGTCCATGCTTACACTACTTAGTGCTTCCTCCATGTGGGGCAGTCCACATACTACGTTGCTCTGTGAGCAGGAGAGAGAATTCAAATGCATTCATAGTTCAGACATGTCTGATGAATCTGTTCAACTGAATAGATTGCAAAGGAGAATTTCTAGGAAGCAAGAGGAGGATATTGCGTCCTCAACGAGCTTACCTTGGTGTCCCATGTCAGGAAACATGTTGAGCAGTGAACCTCTGAACCTGTTTCTCCACAGTGCCAGGCCCGTCCGCAGCCCTAACGACAATGCAGCTCTTCTCAAAGCAAAACCCTTCAAGACAAGAGGTTACTAAACTCCAGCAGCAGGTTAAGACCAACGGTGCTGGCGTGACTGTTCTCAGGCGGGAAATTTCTGAGCTTCGCACCAAAGTGCAGGAACAGCAGAAACAGCTTCAAGACCAAGACCAGAAACTGCTTGAGCAGACCCAGATCATAGGTGAACAGAATGCGCGATTGGCGGAGCTGGAGCGCAAACTGCGGGAAGTCATGGAAAGCGCAGTGGGACGCTCCTCCGGGCCGGGGCAGAGTGAGGAGTCTCCTCGGAAACGGAGGAAGGCCGCAGAAGCCATAGACTCGCTTAGAAAATCGAAGCGGCTTCGGAATCGAAAGTAAATGGGAGCGTGGCCTTGCTCCAGAGAGGGCACAGCCTGGAGCCTGAGCAGTTTTGCCTGTCAGGACCCTGGGAATAATACTGTGTCCCTGGGGCTTCTAGGCCTTAGAACACGACCTCGTGGTTGGGGTGTTCTCTCCCTGCTTCTCCTTGCGGAACCGATGCACAGAATCTTTTTCCTTTGCAGTAGATTTGTACTAACCAGACCTGTTCTATCATGTTTTGGGGAATTGACTTTTTTCTGTGCAGATAATGTTTAAGTTTATTTGTTTCTGCATATATGCACATTACCTAGGATCTTAAGCAAACCAGACTTGACAGACTAGAAGTTGTTTCATACAGAAAATGTCCTGTTCACTTGAAAGAAAAAAAACCTACTTTTTAAATGGACACTATCTTGTTTTAAAACAAAAGTTGACTTTTTGTTATAAGTGACCTTTGTCTGGAATGTCTGAAAAGTAGTTAATGCTTTTTGGTATCAGAGTAATGGGGTAACTGAAAGGACTTGCATAGTATTGCCTCTACAGTACTGACTATATATTTTTATAAACTACTGGCAAGGGATGGATCCAGTTGGTATCCACATTTTCAGCTCTCTCTGGGGCCATGTCCTACATTCGCATGTATGGATGCATGCACTGCCCGGTCAACCCACTTAAAAGCTCTTGCACTGGCATTGATCTTGAACCTCTGTACTTCTCCTCTCTCAGCGTCTTGTTGATTTAAGCGCTTTACATCTTCCATTGCAACCGCTTGCCTCCAGGGGAGAATTGTTAGTCCATTTGTCCTCCAGTTTTCTAGGAACAAGAGACTATTAAAGCCCGTTGCTTAGCTGTGCTCTGTTAGGGTTCAGGTACACTGGCTGAGGCAGAATCCCAGGCCCAAGCTCCTTCTATCAAGACCAGGCCTCTGGGACCTAGTGCTGGTCCTGATGCCTCACTGTGCTTGTGGGTCAGATGTGGTGACCGAGTTGGGGGCCCAGCGTGTGGATTTAGTTTTGCCACTGAAGGAAAAATTCACTGATGAAAATAGTGCCATGAGAAAGCAATTCGATCACTTCATTTCTGGGAGCTGACCTGAGGGAAGCTTTCTATATTAATTTCAGGCTTCCCTTGTCCTATCTTTAAACAGAGCTTTAATTTTGTTTGCACTCCTGTTTTGAGCTTGTAACTGGAAAAGCATGTCTTGCACTGTTCACCCTTCTGAGTGGTCACTTTAACAGCCTCCAAATTGTGTACAGTGGTTCTCTTCCCAAGCTGTATACTTTCGAGACATTCAGTTATCACTGTCTTAGCTTTATTTTAATGTACTAAATTATGTAGTTATTTGACTGTTAAGTTCTTTTAAACTGCTGCCATTGGGCTTCAGTTGTTTAAAGTAAATGTAGGTGTAATTTAGAAAACTATCCCTCTCCAGGTGGGAGTTTGACACCTGTATAAAATCTAAGGTTTGGGTAAGTACCTTAGTTGAATAAAAGCACAAGGTTATCACTTCCTGTATCCGTCCAGCATGACATGATTATTCATTCTCTAGGTAAAGTTGCCAGATGGAACTTTTTCCTATCCATTTTTAGTATTGTCCTTTTATAATTTTGTCCTCGGATTTTGATCAATTCTATGTCTTAACGTTTAAACCCCATTTACAATGTAGTTTGTTTTCAATGAGAAAACCATAAAGTAACGTCCAGGTGTTTCTTGGTATGTTGGGAAGGTAATTTTAAAATAAACAGTTTCCTAAAAACACTTGTCAGCCAAGGTCATCCATAAAAGTCCCTTTCTGGAATGCATTTTCTCACAGGTCTCACTTTTGTAATCATAGGATTTAGCCATATTATCAGAACTTTGCAGAAGGCCTACTGGCATACTCACAGCCTTTAATAGTTGTTTTATGCTAAGAGGAAGACTTTTTGAAGTGGCCAAGGGCAGGTTTACAAATTGTGAATCTTATGCATCAAAGGGATGGAGCCTCAAATTATTTCTGCAGTAGTTGTTAATGAAACTTTCCTGAATTTCTTTTTGAGCTCCATCTGGTTAGCCTAAATGTATCTTTATTCTTGCGTTGTTTAACACAAGTGTGTGGTGTTCATAATGAGCATCCACGGTATTGGAAGTTAAATTTTCAGTTCCTCACCCCAGATTTCTGTAGCACACACACAGTCTCGAGTTGCGCTTGTCAGTACATGAATTTCCACATGCAGGGGAACCAAACACTACAGTTGAATTGAAGTTTCAGACTCCCTAAACCACCGTCATTGAGCCAGCTGTTGGGTAGCTGTCACACCTGCTCTGGGGTAGCTTGCTTGCAGGTACTGCATTCTGCAAATCACACGTCATTTTCATCAGCTCAGACTGATAACATTCCACTGAAATTGTAAGTTGGGTTCCTAGGAGAGCGCCCTCCCACCCCAAAGTTTCTGTTCAGTCATCCAAATGACCGAATGTGTGTTACGAATAGCACATCACCATCACCTTGACTGTTTCACAGAGACGTGTTTCACTGGGTCCACCTAAATGTACTCTGGTGCAACACCAGTACGTGTGCGCAGACAGTGAAGGGGGCTGACCTCCCCCCAACCCCCATGCACTCACATGAGTCCCACACACCTTGAGACTGCAGAGCCTGTTGTGTTCAAACTTGTCTTCTGCCACAGGGAGCCTGGAAATGGGGCAAACGCGGATAAGTTCAGAGAGGTCCTCCTTTCCCGAAGCCTGTTGGGGTGCCATCAGCTCTAAAGCCAATCCTTTTGGAAGCGAGTTTTTTGTGAAACATTTTTTGGAGTACTGAATTTTACAGGGGCCTGCCTTAATCTCTGTTTAGTAGTTTCAAGATGTATACGCATTATTCTACATGTTAAAATATTCTGTGTAGCCCCTAACGTGGGTAAAACAGTATAAGTAATGCCTAAGTAAGCTAAAAGGTGTCACTACAGCTAGATTTTGACAGAAAACATAATAGGCTATGCTTCATAAAAATAATGGCACCTTAGGATTGCACTATTTTGTTCATTATTTTATATGCCATTTCATAGCCTGCACTTTAATCTCCAAAGAAATGATGTATGATGTCCCAGTTGTTTCTTATTATTAATAAACTTTTTCCTAGACAGGGCACTTAGTTCTATTTTACTATGCTGAATTGGTTTCTTAGACGTGGATTCATTTTTGAGTTCTCTGTTTCCTTAGCCATATTTTCTAGGATCTGGGAATTCCCTCTCATCTGTTCCCAGCAGTATATGACTTTAATGTGATGTAAACCTCATCCTGGTGATCAGCACATTCTTAGATCCTCGTCTTCAGTGAGTACCAGTTTGTCACACAAATCAGATCTTCTGAAATTGATGCTGTGCGTGAGATTCAAAGGCAGGAGAGGACAGAAGGCATCTTGAGACATCTGCAGCAGCAGTTGCTGGGAAGAGGCTGGTTCTGTAGGAGAACCGGCCTGATGTGCTGTCCACTTCTTTGGCTTGGGATCTATCTGAATTTCTTTACCTGGTACATAAAAGGCTAGTAGCATTTGCAATAAATAAATTTCAAAAAGTATTGAGCCTACAGAAAGAGACCAATACCAAGTTGGCCAGTGCCTGTTGTGCTTTCACTTCGAGTAGCAGTAGTTGTATCAGTTTCAGGCTTGAGTGTTTTGGCCCTCTTACAACTTCCTAAGAATCTAGGTTCAATTTCTGACGCTCAAAAGTCACACCCAAAGTTTTCCTGTTGTGTCTGAAAGAAACTATGAGGTTTAGAATCTTAGCAGTAATCTCCGTTGAGCTCTGTTGCCAAAGCCTGGCGGACCATATGTATACCGCCAAAAGGTGAGATGTGTCTGGCATTCCTTGCTGTGCTGCCGATTGTTTACCTGTGCTTACGGGCAACAATAAAACACTAGTTTACCTTCTGGAATTTTAATGGTTCTAACTAACCGATTGGAAAATGAAAAGTACCTCCCAGTGACACAACAGGGTACATAAATAAATGTGCTGTTACCAGTGCTGCTTGTTCTCTTTGTATTTCATGCACCAGAGTGTGGAGCGCTGTTACTGCCGTGCCTTCTTGTCTCCACTGTCCCGTGAAGCACCACACTGCGGTGCTTTACACATCAGGGTGTTCCTGGAAGCCACGGAGCAAGAACACCGCATGTGCACCTGGGGAGCTGACCCAGCCCACCTGCAGAGGCTTTGTACTTGGTGCCTGACACCACATTCTGTTTTTTTCCTAGTGAAGGTTACATCCGGCAGCCCTTCCCACTCAGCTACATCCCTAGTCCCCCCGCCTTTTTTTTAGAACAAGTTCTTGCTAAGTGACTCAGTTTCCCAGGGTGAGCTCAGACTTGGGAGTCCTCCTGCCTCAGCCTTCCAGAGTGCTGGGATCATAGGCACTTGGCTCTACGCCTGACTTGATACCACTTTCTAAAGCAGCCAGGGGCAGTGAAAATGCCACACTTCTGTGTGGGGATCCTTCTGTGCATGCCCTCAAGGTCGGCAGTGCTGGACTCATGCTGAGGGAGGCATGTGGAACTGAGGATTCAAATAAAACAGTTCTGGAGCCAACTTACTCCAGAAGGTTTGGGGCAAGAACAACCTTGTCAGGACTTCTTGGCCTGAGATACGGAGTCAGTGCTCCAGCTGCTTCAGTACAGAAGCAGTAGCCAGTGATGCTTTGGCCCTTAAAAACTGCTTTCTCCAAAACTCATGCTATCATTTTCACTGGAGTAAATTCTACAAATCAGTCTCGCCCATTTCTTAACAGTGTAACCAAGGCAAGTGCTGACTGTAGAGCTCTCAGGCAGAGCAAACTCCTCTCTGGTAAGTGCTGGCCACATCCCCTCCATCCTTCTGCCCCAGCAGCTAGGAGAGGTCACACAGACCGTGGCATTCAGATGTCAGCGGCGAGAGTCAGGGCCACTGCTTTGGCTTCATAAGGCGGATCACAGTGCAAAAATCCTGGATTTCCATGTTCTCTGGCCAGCTCTGTTGGGAAGAGGCTCACACTATTAGGCAACTGAGATCGTTATTTTTGCTTTTTAATAGACTGGGGGTGGAGAGAGGGGTGCAGGCCTGGTAGAACACTCACCTGACCGGGCTCATCTCTGCTTAGCAAAATCTTTGTGAACCTCCCCCAGGTAATCCCTGGAACGATTCAGAGTTAAAGACGATCTCTGTGCTGCAGTGTTTGTCTCAGTTTGGTGTGCATCTCCTGGTTTGGGGTGAGTCATACCCAAGAAGCAATTGTAAGGAGACAAACCAGGAGTGGTGGGTGTTAGGACCAAAAGTAGGAATTACGTCTCAACAGGAAGTGTAAATTAGGAACTTCTCAAAATTCAAGACATCTCATTTACATAACAATCAACTGAACAGGACTCCACTTGTCCTAATCCTACCCTAACCCTTTTCCTGGTAACAAAAATGGGTTTCTAACTGACTGATTTGTTAAGAGCCTATAAAACTGACGGGCTGGGAGACCTACAGTGCTCCTCGGCAATGGGACCTCCTGCTCGGCCTGGGGGCGCCCACCTGCTGGCTCTCCCTGCGCGGGGCTCAGCACCAGTTTCTGTGGCCTTCGATTCTGCTCTTTACAGTGGAGGTGAAATGCAGGTTGTGCGGTCTGTAAGAGCACCGCGGAGGGGATGGATGTCTGGGCTCAGCACGGTGCACACACGGCGAGCGACAGACTGGTGCCGTGCGAGGCTTAAACAGTCCACACACACAACAGATGTGTGGAGGTGAGACAGGAAAGCCTCTCTCCTCCCAGAGGAGCCGTGGCTCTCTCGATCTCCAGACCCAGCCGGCCAGCGAGCTCCCCCACCCTGTACATGGGCTGCTGCCCGGATTTAAGGCGTCCCTGCTCTACAGACACGCACGCGCGCGCTCACACACATGCCCCGGTTTCTAGCGCAGAAAATAAAGCTGCGACTCCTGCAAGCTTTCTAGCTTTCTGGGAAATTTTACTTTCAGTTCATCCTAGCTTTCTCATCTCTTAGAATCCTTGAATAAAGAAGGGGACAATTTGGAGCTAAACTAACTCCTTTTCAACGCTGCGGGAAGTGACCCGCCCGAGGCGCGGCTGCCCTGGGCTCAGGCCGGGCAGCTCCGAGGTTCAAAGGACTCCGCACCTGTCCCCACCTGCTTAGCTCTTGTCTCACGCTCGGTGTCTTCACAGGGCTGTTGCTACAACGAAAGAATTCGGGGAAGCCCCAGGGCCTGGCTCTTGATCCGCAGCAGCTCCGAGCTCTGAAAACACCTGGCTCACTACAGGTCCCCACTCTCCCGCGTGTCCCTCACCGGCGCCTTCGTCTTCTAGCAACAAATTATGTTTAGAAAGTAACACAAATCAAGGAAGAACTTGCCCAGATTCAAATCTCATTTGTATAACAATCAACTGAATAAAGCTCAATTTGTCCTAATCCTACCCTAACAGGTTTTCTTGGATTAAACAAAAGTCAGTAGCAGCAGCTCTGAAATGCAGGATCCCAGGCCCCATTTGGACCCATTGGCTCGCCAGGCGATCTGTTTGCACTTGCAGTAACGTTTGAAGAGCTACAGCAGGACACGGGTGCTGTCTTGGAACTGATTGCTAACAGTGCTCAGCTCCCCGGTAGTGCAGCAGCCGCAGAGAAAGGGAGAGGCTGCAAGAGGAGGAGGAAGGCGGCACTTGGGAGCCTGAGGCAGGATTGCAAGTGAGACGCATCCAGTGGAACACTACGCAGCTCTAAAATGAAGAACTTTTTCTGTCCTAACATGGAACAACCTCCAGGAATGCTAAGGGAAATGACTAAGTGCAGAACCTTTTCAGTGTATAAACTGTTCTGAAAGAAAGAACGAGGGAACTGCATGCATTTGTGTCTATGCATAAAGAAACCGGATGGCAAGTGTGGGACTGCAACAAGGCTGGGGGGGGTGGAGATGAGAGGAGCTCACTGCTAGGTGTTTTGGTGTCTTTTTCTATTTTTAAACCACGGCGATTATCTGTCCCCAAGTCCAAGAGCCTCTGTCATGTTTTTTCCCCCTTCCCTGTTGAGCCCAATCCTCAAGGCAAGTCATTCAGTGCCACCAGGGCTTGGGATGAGCACAGGTCTGGGGCTCCACCCTCACCAGAGAGAATGTCCTTGTGAAACAGGTGGCAGACAGCTCTGCTTCATGGGACTGTAGGAGGCAGGAAGCCACCCGCACAGACAAGGACCTGCTAGGCCGCCTTGCCAGACTTGGCAGCCACCAGAACCATGGGAGTGAAGTTCTGCTCTTTATAAGAGACCTGTGGTGGGGAAATTTGTTAGAGCAGCCCAAATGGGCTACAACATTAACGGAAAGAAAAGGAAAACAGCCAGGCATGGTGGCGCACACCTGTAATCCCAGCACTCGGGAGGCTGAGGCAGGAGGATTGCTGTGAGTTCAAGACTGTCCAGGACAGCCTCAACTACATAGTGAGACCCTGTCTCAAAAAAAAAAACAAAAAAACAAAAAAACTTGTAAATTCCATTTCCTTTGGAAATGGATGCATGAGCTATAATTGAATTTTTTGTTTTTCTTCAGTGCTGGAGATTGAACCCAGGGCCTTTGCACAGGGCTACATCTTTTTCCATCTTCTTTTTTTTTTATATATTTACTTTTTTTTGGTACCAGGGATAGAACTTGGGTCCTTGCGCTTGTGAAGCAGGTGCCAGAACCACTGAGCTAAAATCCCTGGCCCTACTTCTTTTTTTTTTTTTAAAGACGGGACTCACTATGTAATTTAGGCTGGCCTTGAACTCACTATGTAGCCCAGGCTGACCTTGGACTGGTGGTGATCCTCCTGCCTCACTGGGCCTCTTGAGTGCTGAGATAAAGGTATCTACCATCATGCCTGGTTTTAATCTAATTTTGAGACAAGGTCTTGCTAAGTCACCAAACCCTGGATGGACATGAACTTGTGATCCTCCTGCCTCCGCCTCCCAG